ACAAAAAGTACGAAATTTGATGGAAAACTGATGAAATCATGCTCTCGTGAATTTTGATGTGTCAGCGATATTTACGCACCGGCGATTTTGCCGACTTTGACTCCCATTTTAGGCCAATTATATTACTCCAGTCGACCAAATTCTTAGCTATTTCACTAGTATTACTTCTATTCTATCAATTGAGCACAAGAAATCACCAAGTCGGCTGTTTCAACTACAAAATAAAGTGATCGGAAATTGGTAATTTGGCCAATTTAATGCAAAGTTCAAAATATTCTAATTCCAAAATAGGGTCCAGAATAAACAATGCAGGCATTCCTGGAACTAAACTAACATTTCCTCTGTTCATTTGTTATGTTTTCAGGCTTTACAAATGAATTCCATTTTGATTTTTTATTCACATAATGAATTTTTATTCAAACCAAAAAATAGATGATTTACTGTATTGCAATACTGTAATAATTGTATAAATAATATCACCACATTTGTGAACGTATATTAAACCCATCAGGTGGTGTGTTTTAGACGTGTGGAATCATTTGTTTACTCTTGAACATTGGCAAAAATTTAACATTTCTGCTATTTTGAGCTCAATTTCAACCCATTTCCATTACTGAAACCAATCAAAATCATCTTCATTTCTGTAACATATCTTCCATTCTATCAAATGAGACCAAGAAATCGCAAATGCAATTATAAAAAAACATACAAAAAACACTGCAAATTCGCTGTTTTAATCGAAAATTATGGTCTCAGTTTTTTTCTCTTATTATGCACTGTATGCTGCAAGATTTGTTTTATGTGGTGCACACATACCACATAGATGTATTCTCTCATATCTAGGCCCAAATTTACCGCTCACAGCTTATCAGAGTGAGCTGAGCTCATGGCGTAGATCTACAGTTTGGACCCTCAACATCTAGCCATAGATCTATGGCACGGACCCTCAAAGGGTTAATATGTACATGTACTTAGACAAACTAAAGGTCTATATAATCAAGCCACATGAACAGAGATTTAGCAGTAGCTCTGGAAAATATGTATCTTACTTAGTTTAATACATTATCCATTACTAATAATTTTTATTTTAGACACCTAGTAGGCATAATGAACATGCATTATTATTTGACTGTTAAATTAACCCATAAACTGTCCAAGCAGATCTACGTTCATATGTTTAGTGCTACAAAAGTAGATCTACGTTTTTTTTTACATATTTTCAAATATAACAAAAAAAAAGTAGATCAAAGTTTTTTTTTTACACATTTTCAAATATAAAAAAACAAAAAGATCTACTTTTTTTACATACTTTCAAATGTTGAAAAAACGTATATACAGTGGTCCCTCATTTTTCGTAATTAACCCGTTCCTGGAGCAGCTACTATAAATGAAATTTATGATTTGCGAATCAATTTTCCCCATAAGAAATAATGTAAATACAATTAATCTGTTCCAGACACCCAGAAGTATTAAAACAAAAAAATTTTTTACATGAAATATATATGTAGTACATAAACAATACAATGGGAAATGATGAGTGAAACATTAACAGCATAACACTTACCTTTATTGGAGATTCTTCTTATTGTATGTGAGACTGGAGGAGGAGAGAGATTGGATTGTTTACAGTTTGGAAGGGGAATCCCCTTCCAGCAACACCTCAGGTACCAATTGCTTCTTTGGGGTTGCTTCTCTTCTCTGTTTCTTAATGCCACTAGGACCACCTTGAGAGCCACTCTAGTCCTGTCTCGCAAAGTAACTGTGGAGAGAGCTCTGTTTCTGGCGTCTCTTTAACACTTCCCTAAAATGGCCCAAGACTTCGTCAATGTACATATTTCTCACCTTCTTTACCACAGGCTTGGCACTAGGAGCTTTCTTTGGAGCCATGGTAGCTTATTTAGTACTTGCAAGCACTAAAATGAGTGGAATATTATGAAATATTTCATAGGAGCACTTGAGGGGACCTTCACTCACTGGTAAACAATGCCAGACTGGCTGGGTAGGGAGGCCTCCCCGGCTCAAACCGTGCGTACACATCCCGGACGAACTACTATTCGCGAGTCAACCTATGAAAAGCAAGTCCATGTTTATACGAAAATACCCCTATGATTGGCAAAATTTACGATTGCCGAGAACTACGAAAAGTGAGGGACCACTGTACACGTTTGGACCGTTTACGGGTTAACATAAGAATGGGTAAGTAATGGTACAAGATATCAACATTAGAAAGAAAAAATGCAATTATAAGGAAACTACCAAGGACTTTTGCCCATGCAGTGGACTTCATCAAGTCACAAAAGACCTGTTTGTGACTTGATAAAACCCACCAAATATGGCAAATATCACAGATTCCACATGATTGAATTTGCCTCCTTAGTACATACTATAAAAATAAAGAGCATTGCAGTAGGCTTACTGATCCAGACAAAGCATATACCTATTTAATTTTCAAGGTCCATAAATTATATTCATCAGGAAATACTAAACTCATAGGAGTTATACACCACCTAGAGGAATGGGAGATAATCAGGTTCAATCTAAGGAGGGGGAGGTCAGGTCCAATTTTTTTTATCAAAGGCTAACTCATTAACATCAAGGATCATCCCTTAAGGGAGAAAGCTACCTTAATTACTATCCCATATTTTCACTAAATCTGAAATTATGGAGCTGAATCCATTGCCTTACAAATTTATTAACTTTTTTTCACTAAGATATTTGAAGAGGTAGATCATGGTAATGAATGATATTGTGTATATGGACTTCAGTAAGGCTTTTGACAGTCCCACATCAGAGACTATTGAGGGAAAGTAAGGCACATGGAATAGGAGAAATTTTTTCTCTACATAAATGACATAGATGAGGGCATAAAGAGCGACATATGCAAGTTTGCCGATGACACCAAAATAGGCCATCAAATTCATTCTGACGAGGACATTAGAGCACTCTAGGAAGATTTGAATAGATTGATGCAGTGGTTAGAAAAGTGGCAGATGCAGTTTAATATAGACAAATGCAAAGTTCTAAACATTGGACAGGAAAATAACCATGCCACATATAAACTAAATAATGTAGATCTTAATACTACTGATTGCGAAAAGGATTTGGGAGTTCTGGTTAGCAGTAATCTGAAACCAAGACAACAGTGCATAAGTGTTCACAATAAAGCTAACAGAATCCTTGGCTTCATATCAAGAAGCATAAATAATAGGAGTCCTCAGGTTGTTCTTCAACTCTATACATCCTTGGTTAGACCTCATTTAGATTATGCTGCACAGTTTTGGTCACCGTATTACAGAATGGATATAAATGCTCTGGAAAATGTACAAAGGAGGATGACAAAGTTGATCCCATGTATCAGAAATTTTCCCTATGAGGACAGACTGAGGGCCCTGAATCTGCACTCTCTAGAAAAGCATAGAATTAGGGGGATATGATTGAGGTATATAAATGGAAGACAGGAATAAAGAAAGGGGATGTAAATCGCATGCTGAAAATATCTAGCCTAGACAGGACTTGCAGCAATGGTTTGAAGTTGGCAAAATCCAGATTCAGGAAGGATATAGGAAAGCACTGGTTTGGTAATAGATTATTATTATTATTATTATAATCAAAAAAGAAGCGCTAAGCCACAAGGATTTGGTAATAGAGTTGTGGATGAGTGGAACAAACTCCCGAGTACAGTTATAGAGGCTAAAACGTTGTGTAGTTTTAAAAATGGGTTAGATAAATACACGAGTGGGTGTGGGTGGGTGCGAGTTGGACCCATTTAGCTTGTGCTACTAGGTCAGTTGCCGTGTTCCTTAAGTGAATGTGACCTGACCTGACTAGGTTGGGGCATTGGCTTAAGCCAGTAGGAGACTTGGACCTGCCTCACATGGGCCAGTAGACATGCTGCAGTGTTCCTTCTTTGTTATGTTCTTATGTTCTTGAGATCTTTCCTGGTTAAGTATCCTCAGCACCTTATTTCTCCTTTATTCATACATGTCTCCCAATTGCATACTTTAATCATCTCCCTTCTCATTCTACATCTTTTAAGAAGCATTGTTTCAGGGTTCTCAATCTATGTTGATAGGTTTTCTTTTTCTGTGTTCACAAGGACCCTAATGGAAATGAGTCACTTTGGCTGGCATTTTTGGGTTAATGTAGGTAATTTACACTATGCGTGATAATTGTATCGATGTGTACCCGTGCCTAAATAAACTTACATGGGCAAGTGCTGAACTCATTACGGTCATACAGGACCTGGGGAATAGGAGTCATTAAGGTTATCTGCAAGACAAGGAGGGCAAGCCTCATTCACAAGATCAAGAGCCCCTTAAAAGCATCATGGAATAACACACCGATAACTGCAATTAGGAGACAAACTTAAGACATTTCGATCTGGCTTGTACTATCAAGACACCTCCCCTAAGGGGTATAGTCATACGAAATATCCCAAATACGGTGGATAAAATGTCAATTTTTCTGTTTAGTGATGTGGAGTGTACCAATAATAATGTAGACAAGACAAGTGTATTAGCAGGGTACTGCTGATATTTCAGTCATAGGACGTTTTACAATCTAATTAAAGGATCCCACAAACAAAACTTCTCCACAATATCGTAATACTTAGCAAGTTTATTTAAGTGCAATTACGCAAGATTAAACCTTCCCCAAAAGTAGTTGGCGAGTGTGTAGGAGAGAACCTGCAAGTCAGGTCAACTAGGACACACCAACTCGTTTCTGCAGGAGCAAGTCACTTCATTCCGTTGCATTTCACTCATTTCACCCCTAAAACCACCACCTCCCACAACCTGGAGGATCTTAACAGATATAGGTGCCTGGGTGAGGCCATGGTGGAGGCCGAGGAGGTCAAAAAGGCATCAGGAAGTAACTTTGAAGGGTCACTCTTAAGACTTCCTCATTAAAACATTTCTGGAGGGGGGGAGGGGAAGAGAAAAACTTAAAAACAGTAAACAAGATACAGACTCTCCCTCCCAGGCCCGCCCCGCCGCCCTCACCTGCAAAACTCAACAGCGTGAATCCTTGGAGGTTCCGCAGGGTACCACGGAGCATAACCAGAGTAAACCACTCGCCCACAAATGGCTAATATAAGCCCTGATACGTTATCACAGCCTCCACGCCATATTGTGTACCACCACACCTCAGGTAGGCTCGCCCGCTAGCTCGCCCCAGCTTCCCACTCCACCTGCAACGAGTCTACCTCCTCCCTGCCCGTTTTCTCACATTAGAACACATAATTTACCTCTTATATTACCCTCTAGAATGGCTAATTTGTAGGCACAGTCTGTGGGATGAGAGGTAAATGGGCTGAGGGTTCGGATGTGAGGGCCAGGTGGGGGGGGTGAGCGTGTGGAAGCTCTGAATGGTGAATGAAGTTAATGGTTCACTCCAACTATGTCATTGTTTCAAAGAACACTGCCCTGCTTCACACTCCTACCTCATTCATATACTTACAATGTTCCTGCTTTCCATACATTAACATTTTATCGTCAAACGTAACTCCATCACGCAAAAAAAAAAAAATACAAAGCACAAATGATAAATTTATATAGTATATTACACCTGGGTCATCTTAGAATTTTATAGATTTAATCATTACTCGCCACTTCTTTCTTCCCTAAAATAAAATAAGGCTTGATTATCTAGTAAATCGAGTGTACTTTAATGGTGAGGTGTATAGTACTTTCGGCTGACAAACGGGGGACCCGGGTTTAGTCCTGGAGCTGGTTAACAGGTTGGACATTTTAAGATAAAATAAGATAAGATTTCGTTCGGATTTTTAACCCCGGAGGGTTAGCCACCCAGGATAACCCAAGAAAGTCAGTGCGTCATCGAGGACTGTCTAACTTATTTCCATTGGGGTCCTTAATCTTGTCCCCCAGGATGCGACCCACACCAGTCGACTAACACCCAGGTACCTATTTGCTGCTAGGTGAACAGGACAATAGGTGTAAGGAAACGTGTCGGAATTTCCACCCGCCGGGAATCGAACCCGGGCCTCCGTGTGTGAAGCGGGAGCTTTAGTCACCAGACCACCTGGCCACCAACACATGTTACCTTCGTTAACCTAGCAGTGATTAGGGTCATTAATAAGTTCACATCCGGTCTGAGTTGATTGTTAACTTATTCCTTAAAATGTTCAATATTAGGTGGGTTTGCTTAGTGGAAATGGTAACTTAATCTAAGTAAACCCATCGTAACCCAACCTAAAATCATCTAACGCATCTTAACCTTACTCTGCCAGCGGTAGATGTGGGAGTGGTGCGTCTTTGTTTACATTCGATGCGTCTTTGTTTACTTTGTTGTGATTGGCCAGCTTCGGTACACGACTTAAAACTAACTTTAATAAATAACAAAAAAAGGCACAATACCGTGACTGGAACTAACTTTAATTATCTTTGGCGTGTCATACAAAAATAAATGTTAATATCTCCCAGGATACATTTTTGCACAAGAAATAACATCTGTCGTCAGGGTATAGAAAACATGTTCGTATTTTACATAAAATATAACGCATGACTTCTGACCCGGACCTAAATTCATTATTAACCGTTCTTATCGGTGCGTTGACACACATTTGAGGGTCGCATCCTGGGGATGAGAACCAAAGGGATTGAGTAGCAACAAGCCACATTTATTGGTTTTCTTGGGTTGCTATTTCTCGGAGTTAATCGAATAAATCCTTCGAGACAACTCCAGTAATCGTCCTACTTTCCTTGGGATAGGTGACCTGGAGTTCTTTACTAATGATCATTAGGAGTGACCTAGGTCCCAAGACTGATATGTATCGAAGATAAGATGTCCCCGATGTATGAACTTGCATCTTCTCTGTGAGTTACATAGAGAATGCCTCTCCCGATAGGGTTTATTATTTTTAAAGCTATGTATCTTAGTGGGAGGTTCGAATTAGTTTTGGTCTGTGTAGGCATTAGAAATTAGTTTCCATGTGATAACGTGTAGATGCCTCTTCGGATTTGCTTCAGATCTTCGATGATAATGCTGAACTACATTAGAAACGTTTGCCGCACTCTGTACTATTCAGTTTGCGTTCAGTGAGGTAGATGGGGATGGACTAGTGAGATATGGGCGGTACCTTTCTCGGATCACCTGGGTAGAGGGAAAGTGAGCTTACGGGGATACCGTTCTCGGACCATTGAGGTAGAAGAGGTTGGGCTTATAGATATGGGTATACTTGGATCATTGAAGTAGAAGGGACTAGGCTTATGAGATACAGATACAGATGCTAATGCCGGAAAAAAAATCCCCCCCCCAGTACCAACAATACCACCAGTCCGATGACATTCTTCTTTGCAAATATACAGGGTCTAAAGCCAGCAACAAACAACAAAATACCTTTCATCCGTGGACTGCTTGCAGAGGAAAAGGCAATGTTCGCGGCTTTCACTGAGACCCACATAAAGGATCACTTGGACAACGAAATATAGATCCCAGGTTACAACCTATACAGATGTGACAGAGTGAACAGGCAAAAGGGGGGGGGGGTTGGCCTGTACATTGCAGAGTCACTTGTTTGCACTGAACTGCTTAATGCCTCAAATGATATTACCTGGAGTTTACCTGGAGAGAGTTCCGGGGGTCAACGCCCCCGCGGCCCGGTCTGAGACCAGGCCTCCTGGTGGATCAGAGCCTGATCAACCAGGCTGTTGCTGCTGGCTGCACGCAAACCAACATACGAGCCACAGCCCGGCTGATCCGGAACTGACTTTAGGTGCTTGTCCAGTGCCAGCTTGAAGACTGCCAGGGGTCTGTTGGTAATCCCCCTTATGTGTGCTGGGAGGCAGTTGAACAGTCTCGGGCCCCTGACACTTATTGTATGGTCTCTTAACGTGCTAGTGACACCCCTGCTTTTCATTGGGGGGATGGTGCATCGTCTGCCAAGTCTTTTGCTTTCGTAGTGGGTGATTTTCGTGTGCAAGTTCGGTACTAGTCCCTCTAGGATTTTCCAGGTGTATATAATCATGTATCTCTCCCTCCTGCGTTCCAGGGAATACAGGTTTAGGAACCTCAAGCGCTCCCAATAATTGAGGTGTTTTATCTCCGTTATGCGCGCCGTGAAAGTTCTCTGTACATTTTCTAGGTCGGCAATTTCACCTGCCTTGAAAGGTGCTGTGAGTGTGCAGCAATATTCCAGCCTAGATAGAACAAGTGACCTGAAGAGTGTCATCATGGGCTTGGCCTCCCTAGTTTTGAAGGTTCTCATTATCCATCCTGTCATTTTTCTAGCAGATGCGATTGATACAATGTTATGGTCCTTGAAGGTGAGATCCTCCGACATGATCACTCCCAGGTCTTTGACGTTGGTGTTTCGCTCTATTTTGTGGCCAGAATTTGTTTTGTACTCTGATGAAGATTTAATTTCCTCATGTTTACCATATCTGAGTAATTGAAATTTCTCATCGTTGAACTTCATATTGTTTTCTGCAGCCCACTGAAAGATTTGGTTGATGTCTGCCTGGAGCTTTGCAGTGTCTGCAATGGAAGACACTGTCATGCAGATTCGGTGTCATCTGCAAAGGAAGACACGGTGCTGTGGCTGACATCCTTGTCTATGTCGGATATAAGGATGAGGAACAAGATGGGAGCGAGTACTGTGCCTTGTGGAACAGAGCTTTTCACCGTAGCTGCCTCGGACTTTACTCTGTTGACGACTACTCTCTGTGTTCTGTTAGTGAGGAAATTATAGATCCATCGACCTACTTTTCCTGTTATTCCTTTAGCACGCATTTTGTGCGCTATTACGCCATGGTCACACTTGTCGAAGGCTTTTGCAAAGTCTGTATATATTACATCTGCATTCTTTTTGTCTTCTAGTGCATTTAGGACCTTGTCGTAGTGGTCCAATAGTTGAGACAGACAGGAGCGACCTGTTCTAAACCCATGTTGCCCTGGGTTGTGTAACTGATGGGTTTTTAGATGCGTGGTGATCTTGCTTCTTAGGACCCTTTCAAAGATTTTTATGATATGGGATGTTAGTGCTATTGGTCTGTAGTTCTTTGCTGTTGCTTTAACTGCCCCCTTTGTGGAGTGGGGCTATGTCTGTTGTTTTTAGTAACTGTGGGACGACCCCGTGTCCATGCTCCCTCTCCATATGATGGAAAAGGCTCGTGATAGGGGCTTCTTGCAGTTCTTGATGAACACAGAGTTCCATGAGTCTGGCCCTGGGGCAGAGTGCATGGGCATGTCATTTATCGCCTGTTCGAAGTCATTTGGCGTCAGGATAACATCGGATAGGCTTGTGTTAATCAAATTTTGTGGCTCTCTCATAAAAATTCAATTTGATCTTCGACTCTCAGTCTGGTTAGCGGCTTGCTAAAAACTGAGTCATATTGGGACTTGAGTAGCTCACTCATTTCCTTGTTGTCATCTGTGTAGGACCCATCTTGTTTAAGTAGGGGCCCAATACTGGACGTTGTTCTCGATTTTGATTTGGCATAGGAGAAGAAATACTTTGGGTTTCTTTCGATTTCATTTATGGCTTTTAGTCTTCCCTCGATTCCTGACTCCTAAAGGATTCTTTTAGCTTAAGTTCGATGCTTGCTAGTTCTCTGACCAGTGTCTCCCTACGCATTTCAGATATATTGACCTCTTTTAGCCGCTCTGTTATTCTTTTCCGTCGCCTGTAAAGGGAGCGCCTGTCTCTTTCTGTTTTACATCTACTCCTCCTTTTTCTTAGAAGAATAAGCCTTGTGCATACATCGAGTGCTACCGAGTTAATCTGTTCTAGGCATAAGTTGGGGTCTGTGTTGCTTAGTATATCTTCCCAGCTTATATCGGTTAGGACTTGGTTTACTTGGTCCCACTTTATGTTTTTGTTATTGAAGTTGAATTTGGTGAATGCTCCCTCGTGACTAATCTCCTTATGTCGGTCTGGGGCTCCGCGCATACATGACTGAACCTCAATTATGTTGTGATCTGAGTATATTGTTTTTGATATGGTGATATTTCTTATCAGATCATCATTGTTAGTGAAGATGAGGTCTAGTGTATTCTCCAGTCTAGTAGGCTCTATTATTTGCTGGTTTAAATTGAATTTTGTGCAGAGATTTAAAAGCTCGCGTGAGTGTGAGTTTTCATCAGAGCTGCCTCCTGGTGTTATTACTGCAACAATATTATTTGCTATATTCCTCCATTTTAGGTGCCTTAAGTTGAAATCCC